TTGAGTTGTTTTTTTTTAAGCATTTGTCTCAGCCTACAGTCTCAACTGCAATTTAAGCAGCCCGCTCAGGGCGCTGTGTGGTGTGGTTTCCGAAAGGATGGGTAAAGGTGAAGCCTCCCCTCCCCCAGTGGCCTTTTTACTCTGGGTCTACGTTTCCAGGCAGCTATTTATGAAAGCTGAATTTTGCAGCTCTGTAGACTCGTGTTACCGCCAAAATGATCTTACTTTAAAAATAATCACTATCTCTTTTGTTTGTCTTTTGAGACAGAAAAATAAAAACAAAAGGACAGTTCCTGTTTGAACATGAATTAAATAACATCTTCTTAAATCACGGCTCATGACCTCCTAATTTTCTATCATCAGGCGCGTGTTGGAAGAGCCTGGACCAGGAGTTACCAGGCATGAGTCCTGGTCCCAGCTCTGCCCTGGTGGCCTGGGGTCATCGCAGTAAGAATGGTGAATTATAGACTCAGGGAATGCTTAGGAGAGCCCCAGAGGCATCATCTAATATTTATGGATCCCTATCCTGTGCATAATTTCGTCTTGTGCCTAGGTTTTATCACACAACTGAAACTGCCTCTTCATTGGACAAGAGAGCAGAGGGAAGTAATACTTTCTTTGGCAACCTAAGCTCTTGGCAAAATCACCTGCTCACAGCAGGTGCTGAAGTGCGTGTTCTATTGAAAACAAGAAGAAAGGAAGGGAGGAAGGAAAGAAGGAAGTAAGATAGGGAGGAAGCAAAGGGAAGGAAGGCAGGGAGGGGAGAAACAAGCACCCTTGTTACCCATGAATTACTTTCCATACCTTATCTCATACTTACTCCTTTCTACAGTTGGGTAGGAGAGATACAAGGCTATGAGGTCAAGTAACATGTTGAAGGCCACACAGCCACCAAGGAGTGGAGTCTCTGTTCTTGTGGCAACTCACAAAGTTAGAATCCAGATTCCCAGAGCTTTGTTCTCATTCCCCAGGTTGTTAAGAATGGTGAAATTGGTGTCTGCCATCCAAGCAAAGCCCCACGGGTGACTTGAGAAAGACAAAGGTTTTAGATCAGTTCTTGCCTGCAGCCCTTTCTCTTTCTGACATTAAGCATATCTTAAACCAGGTTCCTGGGTTGACATTCTCATGCATATGGATTTAGGAGGGGAGCAGCTTTCTCAGCAGGCCTAGGGAAGTATATTAATTTCACAGAGCCCCCATCCCCCTACCCCCCAGCAACTTGGAGGGGCCCTCTGGACCATTTAATCTCATCTTTTGTCTGCATTGAGAATGGGCATTTCCCCCTCTTTAAATATCATTCCTCCCATCCCTCTCCCCCCTCATCATACTCTTTGTTGTAGATGATCAGGCCAGGAGGGGAGAAGGCACTGGCCCACCAAGCTTGGGAAAGGCCAAAAAGGAAGGATTTGCAGGAGGTGACCCAGCCTCAGGGTCCCCTGAACTCTGAGGCCTAATCCTCTGTAATGGCCTGTGCTGGAAAGTCTTTGTGAAACCTTTGAAAGGAGGTGCTCCTGGGAGGGGCTTTGCCCCTCTTACTCAAGGTTCTCAGAGGGGCTTGGGTTGCTTCTAATGAGTGGGTGGACCTAGCTGGAAAGCTGCTGTCTGCCACAAAAATGGGGTGCCAAGAGAGGCAGCAAGATTCCCAATGTTTCAGGTTTTGCCCCTACTCCCCTCCCCTTTGGGACACCCCCAGGCCTCCACCCTGGTCCTTTGTAGGAGCCACGGGAACCGACACCTAGATTCCCAAATCTGTAACCTGGGCCGGGTGTCACAATCCAGGTCTAGCAGGGATCAGAAGTAAGTGACTTATTTAAAAAAGAAAAAATTCAAAAAATGATAAGCTAGAAAAGAGCAGATGTTTTCAGATAGTAATGTTTTTTGGGGCAGTGTACTGTCACACAGCCCGGGGTTTGAACCCAGACTTCATCCGGCAGAGACTTGGGTCTCTCAGGTTGTAGTGAGAATGGGAGCTAAAAATTGCGGGCAAAGTATAGGTTCTTACCAATTGGTGGCTACTGAAGGAGTGTGCGTAATCACCTAGCCCTCATTTCTTGTGTGAAGAAAGCAAGTCCCAGAGAAGGGAAGTAACTCAGGGAAGGTTGCACAGCAAGTTAAGAGCAGGGCTCAAATTAAAACCCTTTGCTCTGGCCACTGGATCAGAGCGCCATCAGGGGAGCTCCGTAAGCAAAGTCCGTCTTTATTTCTATTTATTTATTTTTTTAACTAATTAATTATTTATTTTTAAAGATTTTATTTATTTGACAGAGAGAGACATATCGAGAGAGGGAACACAAGCAGGGGGAGTGGGAGAGGGAGAAGCAGGCTTCCCTCCCAGGGAGCCCAACATGGGGCTCGATCCCAGGACCCTGGGATCGTGACCCGAGCCGAAGGCAGACGCTCAATGACTGAGCCACCTGGGCGCCCCCATCTTTATTTTTAAAAGCCGGATTTGTGGTGTGCACAAATTGGGAGATGGTATTTATCACACGTGCCTGAGAGATGAAAAAAATGAGTGCACATTCCCTTTGGAATATTGTGATCATATTTCTGGATGGTGTTTTCTGTGGAGCAGAAATGAAAAACCGTAATTTCTAACCCAAGAGCTGACACGCTGGGCAGTTATTACTGCTTCAGCATGGAGGGCTGTAGAGATGAGCTCTGTTTCTGGAAAGAATTAATTGGATTCAGAAGAGAGCTTGAATGAGAGATAGAAAGGAGCTGTCTGTTCTTGGAGTCCGAGACCACCAAAGTCAAGGATCTCCATTTTGATTAGAAATGAATCTGATATGGTTTCTTTAATTGAATTCTTGACTGGTTGAATTTGGGGGGAGTGTCTTCCATTTTGTATGATGAGTCAGATACTTTGCTCAGTTGGAGGTCATGAGAGACTTTTCTAGAGTTTAAATGACTATTGATATGACCATTAAGTAATATATATTAATATAGCCATTAATAAAATTGGCAATGCCTTGCCCTTGCATGATCTCCTATAAATCTTGTGACACTTTGAAGAGAGAGGTATTTTTATCACTTGTATTTTTCAGATGAAGAAATAAAGACTTAAAGGTAACTTGCCAGGGGTCATTAGCCCAGGAAGTACTATGGTGGGCACTGGACATAAGTCTGAGATGTGAAGCATTCTCTGAACTCACCTCAAGAATGCTCAAGCATGGAGTTGGTCAACCTGCTGCTTGCTGCTTTGGGGGTTAGGAGAGTAGAGTTCACCCTGTGCTTCGAGGTAATAACTCAGGTGGCAGCTGACTGATTTTTCTCTTATGCAAGCAGCCTGGCCCCCCTTCTGCCACTCCTCTCTCATTCAACACAGGGCAGGTATGTCTGCACATTGTGGTCTACACATTCCCCTCCTATAACCCTTTGTGAACCCAATATCCCCTTAATTTAACCACCATAATGGAAATTTTTCTTTGCTCCCAATTCCTGGGGTTTTGGTTCCTGCTGTGTCCCCTGTTCCTATCGTTGAGGTTCAGCTTTGCTCCAGTCATTCTTGGCTGCCATTACTCAATGGCTGTACCCTTTCTTCCTTGCTAACAGAGCTCTGATTTTCCTCAGGTGTCCACCATCTATGGCCATCAAGGGAAGTTGGCCCCATACTCAGGGAGTGACTGATTCCTCATTGTTCTAAGCCAGTTATCATGGGACCAGTCCACTTCACAGTGACTGATTTAGGCATGGGCTTGTAACTCATTTTGGCTAATGACATGAGCGAATGATGGCTCAGGGCCTCGTGGAGAAGGTTTTCCTCATATTCAAGGGAACTGCAGGTGCCGTGCTGCTGCTTCTGGATGTTGATGTGCCTACCTGTGATGGCCAAGCTGCAGCCACTGTTTTGGGGACCACAAAGGGTCTGAACCTGAGAACACACTGAGCATGGCAGCATGGAAGGTTGGAGTAAGCTGAATCCTTCATGAAGGCCCCACGGAATTAACCAACCCTCTTAACATCCCTCTTTCAAGCATTGCCTTAGTCTTCAAGCCACTTGGATTTTTTCCCCCTATTACTTGCAGCCAAAAGCATTGTCACTGATAAAGTACGACATCTCAGTAATCTGTCTACTTCCCCAGTCCCTTCCTAGGACTTTGCTTTTGACCCCTCCAAACTCCCTATTTCCTGAGACCCCCTTCTTCTCAGAAGCTTAACCCCATTTAACATCCCAGGGAGAGGAGCTGGGAGTTGGGCTGGGGAACATGGAAAGGTCACAAAAAAATGCCACCCTTCTACTACTTTCTCTTGTGTTTCATAGTCTGTTTACCCACACCAGTTGCTTGAATGTCTTTTAACTTCAAAAAATGCTACTTTTGGGGGTGCTTGGGTGGTTCCGTTGGTTAAGCATCTGACTCTGGATTTCAGCTCAGGTCATGATCTCCTGGGCTGTGGGATTGAGCCCCGCATCGGACTCTGCACTCAGTGTGGAGTCTGCTTGAAAGATTCTCTCCCTCTGCCCCTATGCCCACTCTCGTTTTCTCTCTTAAAAAAAAAAAAAGTGCTACTTTTGGAGCATGGACCTTGGGTAGAAAACATCATTGCCCCTGTTATTTCTACCTACTGTTTTTTCAAGGAAACATTTCCCTAGAATTTTAACAAGTCCTGTTAGAATGCAGTCCCTTCTCCCCCGCTCCATGTATCTTACTGCCTTCTCACTCTTCCTGGTTGTGCACATGGATAGAGCGGCCTACCCTCTGATGCATGTCCTCTCCTGCCCAGTGGATCCTCCACTGTTACCTCTGTGCTAAGGTGCTCTCGCTGCCCAGCTGTTTATGGCCCGATGCCAGGTATCTCCCATCTACCCCTTCTGACTGAGAGAATAGGCTCAGTTCATGGACTTGTGGGCTCATGGATTCAGTCCAATTCATGCTCATATGTTGAAGCCCTAACCCCCAGTGTGACTGTATATGCAGATAGGGCCTTTATAGAAGTAACTAAGGTTAAGTGTGGTCATAAGCATGGGGGCCCTAATCCAGTATAATTGATGTCCTCATAAGAAAATGACAGCAAAGGTGCATGCACAGAGAGAAAAGGCTGCGTGAGGACACAGCAAGAAGATGGCCATTTGCAAGCCAAAGAGAGAGGCCTGGAAGAAATCAACCTTGCTGACATCTTGATATTGGCCTTCCAGTTTCCAGAACGGTGAGAAAATTAATTTCTGTTGTTTAAGCCACCGAGTCTGGCATTTTGTTCTGGCAGCCCCAGCAAACTCATGTATTGGTCATACCTCATGTTCCAGATCTGATCCCTGGGGTTTATCAGATATCATTCAATTCATTCCTTCATTCATACTTTATCAGTCAGAAAGGTAGTAGAACATGGTATGGAATTACCAATATGTGAGCCACCTGAATCCTAGTCCTGCAAGACCCTCTGTGAAGAATGGCCTCTGAGGTCGTACAGTATAACACACCCCTATTTGCAGATTCATAGTGTTCACTTTGATATTAAAGATTCTGAGCAGTACTTCGGGAGAGAAACTTGTCTAAGGTTATTTAAGTGGCCATTTATAGCCTTGAGATTTGACTCTGTATCTGTCCCTTTATTGACTAACATCTTTTAATATCCATGAAGCTTGTGGGGAGAAATGTGGAGCTTGTTTTTCAAAGCAAAGCCTTAAAGTCAGATGGTTTTGCCACGTAATTCGTGAAACTTAGTTTTCCCACCTGCTAAGTGAGGCAGATAGTCACTATCTGGGTTATTGCTTTGAGGATCCAGTAAGAGAATCTATATAAAGGGCCAACACAGTATCATTCCACTTCTCTTCCTTCATCCTCTTCATTTATTCAGAAATTCAGTAACGACATATTTATTGAGCACGAAAGTACACAACTCTTGCTGGACGGAGATACTCTGAGTGACTTCCGTTTCTACCTGCTCTGAGCTGTGCTAAGGCCTTAGAGACTTGGGAAAACTCAAGCCCCCCTCCTACAGCTTTTTCCCCTGTTCTGTTTTTAATAAATGACATGATACTAGGAGTTCTCTGTCTTCACGCTGGTCACTGGGAAGCCAGGCTAGCCTCACACCTAGAGTGTTTAGGTGCTGGGTGGGTACCTGGCTTTGTGGAACATGCAACTCAAAGCTTGCAGGGGTGCATCTGGGACCAAGGAGCAACTTGCCATGTTAACCCAGAGCATCATCCATGTCAGCACCAGACCGGCACAGCTGTGGGTCTCTTGGCTTGAAAGTTCTGAAAACCCAAGGCCTTTTGTAGCTTTCATTTGGCAATAATCAGAATTAACTCCCTGTGAGTAGGTAATGTTCCAATCGAATCGTAATGCAGAGAAAATTCCACTAAGTCAGAATTTACCAAGAGAGTTCTGCCTAGGACATTCTGTGTGAGAGGCTCTGTGTCCAAGCTTTTACTTACCTTGTCTCATTTAATCTTCACAAATGACCCAATTATTATCCTCATTTTACAGATGAAGAAAAGGAAGAAACTGAGGCACAGGGAGGTGCGTGTGCTCAATCCACACAGCTCGAAAGTCCTGGAGCCAGCATTTGACTATGGGCAGCCTGACTCCAGAGTGCAGGCTCTTCTTCACCACTGTGGTCTTCTCCATCCAATTAGTTACTACCTTAAGTTGACAGATGTGGAAACTGAGGCTCAGAGGTGAAATTATTAGACCAAGCCACACAGCTAGTAAATGCCAGAGCCAAAACCTGATCCCAAGTCTCTCTGGCTCCAAAAGTGTTCCCACTTTTTATGGGGAAGAGCTCCTCCCTGCCTGTGGTTGCACACGTGGACTGTGTATGTAACCTGTAGGAGCCGGCTGCTACAGCCCTGTGGGCCGTGATTTGCTAGTCCCCCACCTACCAGTGACCTGAACAGAGTTGAAGTAACTTGCCACCACCACATCCCAGGCCCCTCTCACGGTCGGCCTCTGGCCTGAAAAACTCTTCCCCAGTCCTCCTCACTAAATTCTTCTCATCTCTCAGATCTCAGATCAAGTGCCCCTTTCTGGGGGTGGCTTCTCTGGCCCTCCAAACAAATCCAGTATCCCCTTTGGGAGATCTGTAGAGCATCCCTTAGTTTTCTTTCTCACTTTTAAATTATCTACTTGTGTGATTATTTTATAAGTACCTGCCTTCCCCTAGATTGTCCACACTATGAGGCCAGAGCCCACAGCAGAGTGATACAGTAACACCTCCCGTGTTTAATTCAGTTTTTAGCCTATAGCTAAAAATGGTAGTTATTATTCTATAACACAGATATATCTGTTTCTCTGTGTATGTTTACATATATACATATGTGTATATGTAAATACACACATATATAAATACACACATATTTAAACGATACTTAAATGTCATTAGGTCCATCCCCTTCCTCCTCCTAATGCATCAATCACAGAAAGGTCAATTAGCCATGGGATTGTTGCAGCCCCCTGATTGCTTGCTCTTGCAGACATTGCTAATCAATCACCATATTCTCTTCTTCTGAGTGTCTGGGGAGCCTCAAATCCCCTCTCAAGGCATTGCTCCAGGCAGCCACTGTTGATTAATTGGGCTTGGCCCCAAAAATGAAACTTGCCATCCCAGAGGGGGAAACTATTCTCATGTATTCCATATAGTTGATTAATCCTAGTGTTCTGCAAGAATTAAAAAAAACATAGGGATGCCTGTGTGGCTCAGTCATTAAGCGTCTGCCTTCGGCTCAGGTCATGGTCCCGGGGTCCTGGGATCGAGCCCCGCATCGGGCTCCCTGCTCGGCGGGAAGCCTGCTTCTCCCTCTCCCACTCCCCCTGCTTGTGTTCCCTCTCTCGCTGTGTCTCTCTCTGTCAAATAAATAAATAAAATCTTTAAAAAAAATATTGATATTTGAGATCCTATTCTAGAGATTCTGAACAACTGGGCCAAGAACCACTGGCTGGCCAAATAGTGTGAATTCTGGCCAGTTCTTGTTTGGATTCCGTTTTCCCTTGTGTCATTTATTTACTTTTAAGTGTAGTATATAATAACTCCACAGTGGCAGATACAGAATTGAGGGCATTGAGGATACGGACATGATGGAAAGATCAGTGTCAGTTCTCAGTAGCTCTCACACTAACACAGGAGACAGATCAGCATGAAGAACTCTTAAATGAGGCAGATTGTTAGGAGTTCATTTATAGGCATCTGAAAGCACAGGGGAGTATGTGGCAGAGGAAGACAGAACTTCTATGTGGGGGGATCTGGAAAAACATTCTGAAGGAGGTTGGAGTTGCACTAATTCTTGAGGAACAGGTGGGCTGGGGAACCTATGATGAATCCAAATCGTGAAAGACTGAATGCCAGACAGAGCCATGTGGAGTCAATGACATAAGGAAAATGATTTTCAGAGTTGATCTTCAGGAAATAAACTTTGGCAGCAAGATGGAGGCTACTTGGAGAAGGATGGAAGAGGAGGCTTGGTGCAAAGTCTCTAGTCTTAATTCATGGCGGTGGCAGAAGTCACAGAAGTGAATTGGAGATGGAATGAGATTTTGGCAATAGGGGAGAAACATTGAATATGACTCAAGGGAAATCTATGAAAATTAATTGTATACGTGCTCTTATTGCTTTGCATTACATTGTGAGCTCTTCAGAAAAAGATTTGCATTCCTAATCTGGGTCAGGTACTGTGTCAGATATTTTACATAGAGCTTCTGATTAATCCTCATAACAATTCCACAGAGTTATTTTCACTATCTGGATGAGGATCCTGAGGTTAGAAATATATTAAATCATTTTCCCGGTGTTACACAGCCAATAAGTTGTAGAGTCAGGATTCAAATACAGATAGTTTAACCCTGGAACATAGGCATTGAACTGTGTGATGATCCTGTCTTAATTACTGCTCTATTCCGTGGTTTTCAGCCAGGGAGGATTTTGTGCACCTCACTCAGGGGAGACATTTAGCAATTTCTGTAGACAGTTTTGGTTGTCTCAACTGGAGTGGGGGGGATTGCTACTGCATTTAGTGGGTAAAGGTCAGATATGCTGCTAAAAATCCTACAATATGCAGGATGGTCTCCACACCAACTCCTCTCCCTGCAAGAAAGAATTACCCAGTCCCAAATGTCAGTGGTGCCGAGGTTGAGAAATCCTGTTCTATTTCTAGGGCCTAACTCAGTGCCTGGCTCACGGTTAGTTGAATGTTTGTTGAATTAAAGAGAACTATTGGGGATATGCATTCATACTTCTGTACTTACATAAATTTAAATTTATGTGAATATAGCTCCTTACAAATATATACATTCTTTAATCCTGATGTATTCTCCTGATCACAGAAATTTCACTGTGTGTGTCGTCTTTATTTCCTCTTGAATCTGTAACTTTGGGGCAATGTTTCTAATTTATCCTATTCCAAGTCTTACCTCCTGTAATTATGGTGTCTCCTGGCTTGGCCGTCGTCCCATGGATTGGTATTTCATTTTAAATCCTGCAGTTGCTGTGCTGACTTAGAAAAGATTTGGAGGTTTTTGTGTGTTTTTCTTTCTTGTTCCTGCCCCATCCTGTTGGAATTCATTGCATCACCCTATACTTTCCTAGCAAGGGGCTTAGCATCTACTTCAGGGGATGGGCTGCCAGTGAAACTCCCTGAGTAATCAGATCCATGGCTCACTGAATGAAGTGGTTGTGGCTGGCTGCCTCAGTTCCCATCCAGAAGGCGACATATTCCTGAACTTGGGTGATGTGGGCCTGGAAAGTTCCATCCCTTGTTGTAAACCAGCTGAGCTTTTTGCAAATCCATCCATGATTACGTTACCCTGTATCCAATTTCCAGCTGACAGCTGTTCCTCAATCTTCTCCTTCCCCCAGCCCCCGATACACTCCGGGATTTCCTTCCTTCCTCCCTTCCTCTCTCCCTTCCTTCCTTCCTTCCTTCCTCCGTCCCTCCCTTCCTACCTTTCTTTCTTTCTTTCTCTCCTCCTTCCTTCTTCCTTCCTTCCTTCCTTCCTTCCTTCCTTCCTTCCTTCCTTCCTTCCTTCCTTCCTTTCTTTCTTTCTTTCAGTGATAGCCACTCTAGAGCTTTTCTCATTTCCCCAATTCCTAAATTCCACATTTTCAGTCCGTTCTGTCATAGTTGCTATCGGTGCAGCTGTGATTAGGGAGAGGGATACCCAGTTGCATTGCCTGTTTTAGCAACAGGGTCATGATTAGGAAAGAGCTGGGGAGTAAGGGAGTCCTCTAGAGATGCCTCTCGATGAGAGGTCAGTTAGTATCTCCAGTGAGCCCTGAAGTCTGGTTGTAGGGGTGTTTGGCCCAGCCAAGATTCTTTAAAGATGCATAAGAACAAACAAGTGAGCAGAGAGAGTCCCTACAGTTGCTCATACCCACTTTACTTCCATTTGACCTTTATGATCGTTTACATTGTTGACTACTGTTGTGTGTCGTATGTCTACTGTGATCACGGGCTGAAGTTGAGGTGATCCCTCAGGACCACTCTCCCACTTATTGCTCCAGATGTGATTTTGTTTGATAAGCGATGATGGTCTCAGTTAGGAAGCATTACATTATAAATAACAGGAAAACAACTGGCTGAAAAGTTCAGAGACAAAGCTTCAGCCTCAGAGAATGCTCTCACTAAAGACTTGATTTTTTTCCCCACCTTTCTTCCTGACTTCACACTAAGTCTGGTTCTTTCTTTGTTCCCAAGATGCATACCAACAGCTCCTGGAGTAACACGTCTTCTTGCCTCATCCAGCAGATGCGAAAACTTCTTTCCCTGAGATTTCTCAGCATAAGTCTTGAGATTCATGCTAATTGGCTAAGGTTATAGAACTGCCCTGGGTCAACTTTCTGGCTAGGGGGTGGACTGGGCTGAATGGCATGGCCTAACTTATGAGCTCTACGCCAGGAGAGCACGTGGAAGTCAGGCCATTAGCAAAGAGGGTGGTGGATGGCAAAGAGATAGCCAAGAAGTGTCCATTATAAGATTTATGCTTGGTCTCCTTGACATTTGAATATCAGCAATGTATTAAAATAATACTTTGACCAGTTGCCTTCCTTTGTATTTGAGGAGTCTCTGCCACCAAATTCCTGACCTATGAAACCCATTCACTACCACTGTCTGCATGGCTGCCACCCCCAAATCTAGACCTAATTCTTTCCAACAGGGCAGGAAGGGTGGTACGGTTTTGATAACAATCTTAACTTTAAAGCACCTACTATTCGGAGAAATACTACTAGTGCAAATGCATTTGTGAATGCAGCCATTCATATTCATTCCTTTATTTATTCTAGTATCTTTTTACTCTTCACTCTTGTGTCTATATATCCATCCCATTGGAAAACATATATTAAATATCTGACATGTGCCAATCACTGTGCAAGATCCTAAGATCCAAGGATAAACAGCATACTAAACTCAAGAAGTTCAAAACAAAATAAGAGAGACGGGCACATAAACAATTAACAGTCATAAAGGATTTTTTCTTTTTGGTAAAATTATTAAAAAGTATTTAAAAACAGCTACTTCCCTCAACTCCGAACCACTGTGTTCTGCGTGCGTGTGTGTATGTCTGTGTATGTGTGTGTATTGCTAGTCAGTTTCTATTTCCTACCTACTTTCCTGGTCTAAATGTCCTCAACATGTCGCTGTTCCTCACCCTATTTGTGACTGCTGTATTTCTTTTACTTGTTGAGGTCATCTTGTCCTCTACTCCCAGGATTCCACAAACTTAGCAGCAGAACCAGACAGTGTCCTATACACCTACAGTTGCCTGAACAAATACATGGTTGATGACCAGAAGAACATTGGTGTTTTCTAGATAGTTTCTCAGTCTCACTGGGGCATAGATTTCTTACACAAGGAGTTTTTGATTCTACAGTTGCTAGGAAAGGGAGACCTATATTTTTCTTTAATTGAATTTAGATGTTTAAAAGTAAGCTCTTTGCTTCCTTTCTCTTAACAAAAAGTGTTTCCCACATGCTTTAAGGGCCATAAGAGTCCCATAGGAACAGCCATGTGGTGGGAAGGGAGAGAGATTTGGCATCAGACTGGCCTAAATTTGGACCCCCGATTTGCCATTCACTGGCTCTGCTACCTTGATTCTTTTTTTAAAAAATTTTTTATTGTTATGTTAATCATCATACATTACATCATTAGTTTTTGATGTAGTGTTCCATGATTCATTGTTTGTGCATAACACCCAGTGGTCCATGCAGAATGTGCCCTCTTTAATACCCATCACCAGGCTAACCCATCCTCCCACCGCCCTCCCCTCTAGAACCCTCAGTTTGTTTTTCAGAGTCCATTGTCTCTAATGGTTCGTCTCCACCTCCGATTTCCACCCCTTCATTCTTCCCCTCCTGCTATCTTCTTCTTTTATTTTTTCCTTAACATATATTGCATTATTTGTTTCAGAGGTACAGATCTGTGATTCAACAGTCTTGCACAATTCAGAGTGCTCACCATAGCACATACCCTCCCCAGTGTCTATCACCCAGCCACCCCATCCCTCCCACCCCACCCCCCACTCTAGCAACCCTCAGTTTGTTTCCTGAGATTAAGAATT